TTTATGCAAGCGCTATATAGGATAAATCACTATACATGATTTACCCTATTATACTTTATCGACACGAATTGATAGGTGAAACAACAAACAGCCACCCACAAATAGTCTATATACAAAGCATCAGGCTGTCTTTGAGTTCACATGAACAACGGTTAAAGTTACTCGTCGTCAGGCTACAGAAGAATACCATAATTCCTCCGTACAATTAGGCCTAAGACATCGAGAGTCACGCAGACCAATAACTACCCAGCCACAACACATAATTGTGAATAACATGCCTTACCTTAACACAGAATCGACCACAGAGTCCAGCGTTTATATTTTTTCTACGAATCTTTGAGTTAACATGTACTAAACATGAGTGGAATTTGCACCGCAGCGCCCCCCACACCTTGATGCTCATGACAAGAATAGCATGTATAGTTATCTTTATTGAAGTGAATTAGGTTTAAATCGCCGTCATGCATGAATGATTGATATTTTTGCAATTTTACACATAATAATCCACGATGATCACATTACACAAAACTGAAATTGCACGTCAAAATAACACATTGTCAATATTTTTTGAGACCCCCAAAATTTCACAAATCCCGTTTTCAGGGGAGCCCATGTCTTTTCAAGGGGAGCCGAGCTCCCCCGTAGTTCGCTCCCTGACTAGTATTAACGTTGTTATTGTTACAGCTTAACAGATTGAAGCTGACTTTGCTAGCTAGCTAAACAATTGTAATAATGTCATTCCCCTATTGCACACATACATTTGAATGATTTACCAAAAACTAATTTTATAAAAACTTATGATGTCATCATAACATCATAACAGTGATGTTTTAGTTTTTTTGTGTAAGTGATATGGACTGGTCCTTGTTTGTTACTGACGTTTCAGTTTGCTTTCAGCAACTACAGACAAGAGACGGCAGTCTGTCAGAAATCTCGCCACAGAAAAAAAACTGCATGTCATGTGACTTAATCAAAGCACATCATTGGCTAAACTAAGGTCTTCTCTTTCCAACAAAAAAACGAGAATGTTCTCTTAAAGAGACAGTGGCAAGGAAATGAACACAAAGATTATGTTGCCATATGGCTACACCATGCAGTAGAGGGTTAAGAAATTAGTTGGAAATTAAAGCAGTTGAAAGTGAGAGGACGTTTCTTTCTCGCTGAGATTATAACACGAACATTCATGTGCTATCAGGTTTGACTGTGTTGTATGATGAATTTTGTAAGGGGAATTTCGTAAAATTTTTTTTACAGAAATAAATTTGAGATAAGGGCAAATATGAGTAAACACAGAGAAGAAGCTACGGAATGATGGGACACATTGCTGCAGTTAAGAGCATGCACAAACATCTAAATGTGTAAACTGCTGATACTTTCCGTAGAGATAAAACACATTTGAGCTTTTATAAGTACTTTAATTCTGACTATTGGTCAACAAACGTCAAACTCTCAGTTGTTTCGGTGTGGTTTCAAACATGATCCAAACTAATGGAATAAACGCAGCACACTGTTAATCAATGCTTCAAACAAACTAGGAGTGAAAACACCCTTAAGACCATCCATATAATCAAGATCTCCTTCTCTCTCAAGAACTAATGCACTTTCAAATAGCTTTTTGTCAAATGCAATAAACACACCAGCTCTCAGTTTCCTTTCAAATTTGTATTTGCATCAACAGACGTGTCAGCGTGTGTTACCTTCCTAAAGTGCCTGTATTTTCTGAATTAAACAGAATCAGGGATCCCTGTAGGATTCTCTGCGATAAATCTCCACCTTCATCACACACACACACTTCAGTTCTGTTCCAACAGCAGGAAGGAGGACAACCTCAGGTCAAAATACATCTGACTAGAAAATGAACTGAAGGTAACAGCATCTGACAGGACTGTAGTATGAACGGCATACGATTATGGTAAATACATATACAGCTGAGAAATCCATTACAACAATGGAAGCAGTAATACTAAATGCAACATGAGGTAGTACAAATCTGAGGATGAAAAAGTTTTTCGCTCATTCACTATATAGTGAGTACCAGTGAACAAACAAACTTGGATGAAAATACCATGCAATAATGGAATTAATAACAATGAAATGAATGAGTTCTTCACTGTCCTCTAAGAAAAGGCACAATGTTCTGTATTTATTTGAAGGAATTTT